GGGGGGGGGGGGAGGTCAAAGTACCAATTCCTGGACATGCGTACGCACGTATTAAATCCTTGACATTCTTATTGTTTTAGTCTTCAAATACACTGAGGAAAAAATATTTAAAAAATAAAAACAACATTCGGTGGGTACCAAACAATGATGGGTAATGACGTTTATTTTAATCTAGATTCTTTAGATTTTTCTATTTCAATAGAACTAACAATTGTATGTACCTTCATGAAAAGCTAACAAGTAAACCTACCCAAAAGATACATTCTGATTTCTTTCTAATTTGGTACAAATGTAGAAGTACAAAAAATCAACTTAGATCATATTTTTTTCATTTTGGCCCACTTTGAGTTTCACGGGCAGTTTATAGCTTTTTAATATTCTCACTCCTATTATTAACAAGTGCAACAAAAATGCATAAAAAATAAAATTGAATACAAGATATAATTAAATAATTTTAACAAAATCGGAATAACTGAGGCACGAACGATTCTAAATTTCTTTAGCAAAGAATATATATTCAACAGAATATATTTCCAACAGAAATATTTCAAATCTGTGCTAAATTAGTCAAAAATTAGTCAAAAATGGTTTGAATCTCGGTCGATCCGAGAAATTATTTGTATAAATAACTTTTTCAACTTTTCACATGTTTTGTTTAAATATTTTATTATTTATACAAATAATTTTATACATTTAACTTCATATTCATAATTAGCAAACCAAAAACGCTTATATCTTGTATTCAATTTTATTTCTTATGCATTTTTGTTACACTTGTTAATAATAGCATAAATTAGCAAACCAAAAACGCTTATATCTTGTATTCAATTTTATTTCTTATGCATTTTTGTTACACTTGTTAATAATAGCATAAATTAGCAAACCAAAAACGCTTATATCTTGTATTCAATTTTATTTCTTATGCATTTTTGTTACACTTGTTAATAATAGCATAAATTAGCAAACCAAAAACGCTTATATCTTGTATTCAATTTTATTTCTTATGCATTTTTGTTACACTTGTTAATAATAGGAGTGAGAACATTAAAAAACTATAAACTACTTGTGAAACTCAAAGTGTGTGTGTGTGGGCCAAAATGAAAAAATATAACCTAAACATCTTTTGTACTTCTACATTTGTGCCAAAGAAATTAGAAAGAAATCGGAGTATAACTTTTAAGTAGGTTTACTTATAAGAAAATATATATCTTCTGATTTGAAAAAATATGTTATATATATATTAGTATAAGTATGTGTTATTAGTATTTATTGAATGAATATTTTTTTATTTCAGATATTTTTCTATTAGTAGATATTTTATATTGAAAGTTTATATTTAAAAACTAGACAAAACAACTAGAATATCCAGGATTAGGTACGTGTCCTTTTATCTTAAGGCTCTATAATATACAATCAAAAAATTTGTGAATTCTTATATCTTTATAAGCTTTTTATTACAAATCTTTTGATAAAATTGCGCGTTACGTTTATTTCTTAGCGCGTGCCGTGAAATTTGTTTCTGGGATATCCTGACTGACATCGCACACGAGAAATTGTCTTAAAAAACCTCACTGATATTCAACGTATCGAGTATCTAGTTTGCCGATGTTTTGCCGCGATACGTCTTGTCCCGATAGCAAATCCAAGGATTGCGAATTCGACGCCTTACTACGTGAAGTAAATGCAGACGCGTAATGCCGCAGCGGCGGCGACGGCGGCGGATCTCTTCCGGACCTCCCATCGTCGGTCTAACGAGACCACCGGAGCTACTGCGGCTAAAAACCGCGCGCAAAAACCCACCAAAGTACGGTCTTTATACGGTTCGTTTTATATCGCGGACCGATTCCCGAGCGCCGCGCTCCAATTACGGACGAATATATACGTCGCTTCTGTCGGACATATATTGCCCCCGCGACCCTATCGTCGCTTTATATGGCGAGAAGCGATAGCGCGCGCTATAAGTTCGCCACCGGATCCAGCACGAATTTACTGTTTGCCAGGCGACGTTACTCACTGTCCGCGAATGAGGTACGGCGATCTGTTCCTTCCTTCGCCAACGTAATGTCAACGAACATCTTCTGCGAGCAAGAAAACGCGAGATTTTTGCCCGCTCTGTCTCACTGTCCGGCTGCGTTCAACCGCGAATTTATTTATTTACATCGCGCTAACATAGATACTCTCCTCGACAGTGTTGGGCATTAACTGAGTAAAATTTCTTCTTAGACTAAAATAACCTGGATAAATGAGTAATTAACATTAATCAATCGTCAGGTAGAAAATCACAAATAATTTCATCCGTCGATGAAATTAATTACTAGTATCATCAGTCACATCAAAGTTTAATGTGATTAATAATTAATTCCATCAATTGATGAAATTATTTCTGATCTTACATATCACGACTGATTAATTCAGCAATCATATAGATAAAAGAATGCTGCTGAATCGATATAATTGGTTAACCCAACATCCTGATTGGAATAAATGTTCTCGATTCAACAGCAATGACATTAAAACTAAACTCGAGTTATCGAAGCAACTTATGATGTGTTTGTTTTAATAATTTATAAAAAATATTAGTTTCAATAACATTGCTATCGCATTGAGAAAATTTTATTATTTTGTGTCAATAATATTTCCTTTTCTGTGATGATATCATATCGACGTGTGTCGAAGCGTTCTTTTTTGCATGCGTTCATATCTTTGTGTCTCTGCATCACATACGCGCACGTCAGTCTCTAAATCGCCGTGAACCAGCGACAAAAAGCAAGTTGGCGCTAATAGCGGGGGCATCTCGACAACGTTTATGGAGCTAGTTCCCGAAAGCGCGAGGACAGCTCCTTACGTTTCGCACAGGAGAAGAGGTCCTGTTTACGTTTGTCGGGACGTAACGAAATGACCCGGTAGCACGTAAGAAATACGACGTCCACGTCCTTCGCGTGCTACGTCGTGCGAGCGAACGGATGGCTACGCGCGGGCTTCCTCCTCCACTATAAGCATTTCAACGGCACTCTTCTTCTCCTCGGGGTAGCCGGATGTCACGAGCGAGTGATCGTGTGCGTCCGCTCGGAGCGAGAAATAAAATTGCGAGCGAGATAGGATGTAATTTCTGGTCGAGAGCCGAATTTTCGGCTCACACCTTCCGAGGGGACTCGCACCCGCCGCGTTTCCGTCGACGATCGCGTGTTGCGAACAAATATAGATATCACTTTCACGTGCAATCCGAAAAACATCAGGACCTGCTACACGCT